ATATAATACATACTGTATTTATTCATGTATAATAGTAGAAATTTAACCTAAAAATCATCCATAGAGTAGGGGGGTCGTATTATACACGGGTTATTCGTGATTAGATTTTTTTATGCTTTTTAAGCTCAAAAATGATGATCGTATTATACTTGAGATCGTATTATACATAAATAAGTATGGTAGTTATTTGAAAATATTGCACATGAGAAATATTACAAAAATATTGCACATGAGATAGACTGTATTTCACACATTTAATTTTGCACATGGGGTTGAAATTGAATGTTTTTATTGCCGTTATTTTCTATTGTTCAGTGCCGTGACGGCTCCTGGGAAAAAGCTGTCCCTGAGCCTATTTGTCCGGCTTTTGTGTAAAGTTTTATTCTGAAGGATTCTGTGATCAGTTTAATGGAGCAGATAATAGTGCAGCTTCTTTAAGYGCTGTCATTTGTTGGGTTTCTACGAGCGCAGCTCTTTCCTCTGGGTTGTACCTTGAAGCAGGAGGCCCTGTAGAGCAGCTGCACCACGTGGCCGATGCTGGTTTTGGACGCCTGAGGGAACCGAGCCTCCAGCTTCTGGACGACAAACAGCACCAGGACCTTCCTGGACAGGGCCGAGCCGTCCTCCAGAGCCAGCAGAACCAGCTTCAGCGCGTCTTCTTGCATAGCTGAGGGGGATTTTGGGGGTGTGGGGGGAGTGGAGGGAACGACGACAGCTGGTAGTGAGTGAAGACGGCCGAATGACAAACGAGCAGATGAGGGAGAAGTAAGAACAGCTGAGTGTAAAAAAAAAAAAAAAAAAGTCCAAACGACAAACGGTCGTGCTTCTAACCCAACAGGTGTCCTCAGACTTTTGAATGAACTCATTCTTTCATGATGAGAAACGTGTTCCCAATCAGAGTCTGCTCTATGAGTAATCATCACGGGACACCAGCTGCGGCGAGGGGACTCCTCACCTGACAAATCATTTACATGCATTACAAAATAAAAGCATCAAAGTTAAAATTTAGAGAAAACCTCTGAAGAATGAAATATATACATAGTAACAATAAAAACAATGAGAACATATTGTTTGTTTTGAATGAATTATTGTTGCAAACTAACTGACTCATAAGCTATACAACAAATAACCTCCTCTTAAAGTCATGCCTTTTTGATACTGTATATTTATTAAGTTATATAAATGCACAATCTTTCACGGCAGTTTTTATAAGTCAAAATGCTAATCTTTTTTCCCAAACTGTCAAAACTAGAGATGCTCYGATCCGATTTTATTGATTCTGATATTGAAAAAAATTTCTAGATCTGGGATCATGACAGTGGATCCGATCCACAGAGGCAGATCTAGCTCTGTGAGCGGCGTCGTGCACCAGCGACACAGCGCACAGGCTCACGACTCTGCCATCTGGAACTTCTTTTACTCTACCTAACCATCTGGAGCCACACTACGACATTATATTAATATTTGTCGGAGACGGCGATGCCTGAACTGCACGGTAACGTGTGCAAACACGCATTAGAGATGAAATATGAGTTTTCCATTATATTTAGAATTCCTAATCGCACTGACTGAACCATTTGAAAAAAGATTTATTCCAGTTTGTTTTTACATGTTTGACCAAGATAGTCAAGATATTGTTTTTCTTAGTTTCAGTTCCTTTATTATTTGTTTTACATTGAGTGTTATACCAGGGTTCCTACCGTTTAAAGCAAGTTAAATTTAAGACTTTTTAATGCCAACTGAAATTAAATTTAAGACCAATTTCATAATAAACACAAATGACAAAAAAATAAAACTGTAGCAGAAACTCATGAATCAAAGTATTTTCGGTTGAAGTATTCAAATATTGCTCATAGACCAACTGTTTTTATCCATATCTAACTGCTTTTTCATCAAATATAACAAAACCATTTGGAGTTTTAGGACCCACAGTGGGGTCTTAAACCCTAATTTGCTGTAGATGAAACCTTCAGTGAATGTGACATCACAATTTGTAAGAAAAGTTCATGCATTTTTGAAAAGACAACATTATTAACATATTACAAAACAAACGTCACATTGCTCAGATGGACATTTGTTGAGATATGTGCGTCTAAGTAACAGGAAGTGATGTCAAAGGGGAATGTCTGCATGCAAATATCAAAAAATGTAACCAATTATTTTAATATTTGAGATGAATTACAATCATYCTATTTACAATGTGTTAACGTTTTTAAGACTTCTGAAAGATTGATTTAAGACATTTTAAGGTTAATTAAGGCCTTATCTTTGGATTGATGAATTCAATGCCTTTTAAGACTTTTTAAGGCTCCTCAGGAACCCCGTATACTCCTAACTGCACTGACTGAAAGAGGTAAAGTTGTGTTGTTTTTACATGCTTTACTAAGCTATTGGTTTATTTCAGGTGGCAGTAGGCTAATGATGCACAGCGATCAAATCATTTTGTAATTCAGTACATTTTTGTCTCTGTGTTAAAAAAAAAAAGAAAGACATTTTTTAAGTCAACTGAGCACACTAACCAGGTCCCAGAAACTGGCAGCCGCGCGCCCTCACCGCCGCCCAGAGGTTGGCCGAGAGCTGCTGGGGGTTTTGGTGCTGCAGGATGAGCTCCGTTACCGTCCGCTCCCCCAGAGAGCGGGCTGCGCGGACCGCCCGCACCCGGCCCTCCTCCTCCACCAGCTGGCAGTTCACCAGGGTCACCAGCTTCCTCTGCATGGGCCGGCTCAGCGCGCTGGGACTCAGGTTCGCCCCACCTGCAGCGTGTGACCAAAAAACAGATGGGCTGAACCAGACCTCTATGGACGTTTGTTTTAATGGAAACGGTTCACATCTCAGGACTCTGACTGATACGAGACACTTTTAAAACATCAACCATTCTTGTGAATAGTTAATCACTAAGTCAGTAAACGAAGCTGCTATAACCAGCTCATTATAACCCACAATTTAGTTTTTTTAAGAGAATGCTTGATGACGTTAAAGTTTAGTAAAATGCAACATGACTGTTCTGAGGTTGTTTTTAAAATCACTAAATATGTATCTGATTTTAGGCCCATGTATGGAGTGGTCTAGGTCTGATTTGAGACGTGTGGATTCATAAAAAAGCAGATATGAGTCACATATAAACAAAAATAATCAATTTGGACCATTTAAGTCTGCAGTGTAAACAGAACCTAAGTCTCTAAAGAGCTATCTGCAACAGGTAAGATAGTAATTATTCATAAGGACTCCACTTTAATAGATCTAAACCATGGGGTCTGCAACGTTTACAATCAAAAGAGCCATTTCTGCTCCTTGGCTCACTAATAAAATGTGTCCGGAGCTACAGGTGCTACGACTGCTGCTTGGTGGGCCACTTTGAGTTTGTTGAAGGGGGGCGTTAAAAAACAAAAAATATGTAGTGAATTTTAAACTTTAATACAGTTTAAGACAATAAAAGACCATATTCATGTAAACAATAAAAATACTGAATATAATTTATATCAAATTTAATAAAAACTACAACTAAACTATGCAGGCATATTTTTTTTCCTTATTTTAATCATTCTCCAGTCCAGTCGTAGAGGTTAACATGGTGGATTTGAAAGAAAGATCGTACTTTAAGGTTGGAAGTTGGATTTTTGATGTGGCTAACAGGCTACTAGCATGAGCTAATCAACACGTTGATGTTCTTTTATTTTATTTTATTTTATTTTTCTGTATAAGCATTTGTGTGTAAGTGGGAGTCTGTGTGAACCTGGAAACTGATGAACCAAACTGCCCTTGGGGATAAATAAAGTCGTCTGAACTCTTTGTAATATCAATCACATTTTTGCAAACAGACTAAAAAACTTAAAGCTAGCCTTTTCCTGTTGTGAGCATAAAACACCCAAACTTTAGAATAGAATAGAATAGAATAGAATAGAATAGAATAGAATAGAATAGAATAGAATAGAAACAGCCTTTATTGTCCCATGCGGGGAAATTCATTTAATCTCAGTAGCTTTGGCTGAAGCTTCAAAAAGCCACTACAGAGGAACCAAAGAGCCGTGTGTGGCCCGAGAGCCGCAGGTTGCAGAGCCCTGCTCTACACTGCTGCTTAATAATGATAAACTGTAAAAAGCAATAAAAGGAAATGTTTCATTCATAAATAAATAAATAGTCTCAACGCTCGATTCTGTGAAGTGTTTCTCAGTCTTGTTTTGTTTCCAGCGTCAGGATCTGTGAGCTAACTACGAATGCCAAGTTCCACAGGCTGCAGCCCCCGCACGCGGAATATGAAGAGCTCAATTCTCTTCAACAAAATGCCCAAACGCGCCATCGTTATGCGAGCGCACAGGCTCGCAGTACCTTTCGTGCTGCTGATGGGTTTCAGGTAGAGAGCCAGCTCTTCCACGCACAGCCTGCAGACCTCGTAGTGCTCAACATCTGCGGCGCTGTCCAGGCTCACAGGCTGAACATCTGGGACCTGGCAGAGACAAACACAAACCAACGGCTGAGCCAGCACAACCTCACAATCAGCCGTTCGGACGGGGAAAACAAGCGTCTGCTTCACCTGCRCGCCGACCAGCTGCAGCAGGGCGCAGTTGACGGGCAGCAGGTCGATGTCGGTGCCGATGGGCGTCTGGTCGAAGGGGCAGGCCTTGCGGTGCAGCTTGTGCAGGCACGTCTTGCACACGGTGTGGGAGCAGCCCAGGCTGACGGGCTGGTGGCCGCTGCTGTCGAACTCATTGTAGCAGATGGGACAGGACAGGAAGTCTGTCCACTGGGCCGCCTGCACTGGCATCCTGCCACCCCGCCGCCGCCGCCGCCGCYGCTGCCGTCGCTGCTGCCACCGCCGAGCTCAGCAGGAACGCATGGCACAGACTGCAGCAGCTGCACGCCAACTGGGACTCTGAGGGACGAGACGTAACGCTACATCTGTAATTTAAGCAACRCTTAAAAGTAAGGAACCGAAACATTCAGAATATAATTTCACTCTAATCGTCTGAAGCACTTTTTAATAAAAGAAAATGACATAAATATGTTTGAAGCTATTTCTTAGAAAATATAAAAAAGGATCATCCAGTTTTACAAGTGTTGAGCTAAACTCTTCCCTGTGTCAGTCATTTGCACATAAATCACCTGTCAGCTAACATTATGGGTTTACGCAGCTGATGACGTTCTGCTGACGCCTCAGAGATAATATCATTACTCCCTCGGCTTTGCTAAAGACAATAAGCAGCTAACGAAGCACACGGGCGTCTCTGAGTGTCTGGTAAAATCATAAACAACTGAATGGGAGAAATACGGTAAAAGTGCTTCTTTTTATCTTTTCAAACAYGGACATGTTGAAGCAACAATGCATAACGCAATACAATATATTTAAGTCTTCCCTATTTTCTATTCCTATTTTATTGTTTTTTAATCTTTGTTTTGTGTTTTTCATGTTTCAATTTCATATGTACAGCACTTTGTTGCAGCTGTGGTTGTTTTAAAGTTCTTTATAAATAAAGTAGTAGTAAGTCAATTACCTCTAGAAAGTAAGACAGTGTTTTTTGCGATTATACATAAAGGATGACCAAAGAGGGACAAGTACTGGCTTAATATCTTGTTAGTGGCATGCAGAAAAGCTTTCACAAAAAACTGGTTTTCACTAGAAAGTCCAACACTGAATATATGGATAGACAAATCATCGAGGATACACGAGATGGAGAAGATGACCCCAAATGTAAATAAGAAAAAMCAGTTCATGTTATGCTAGAAGAAATGGATGGACTACATAAAAATACATAGGCCCGATCTGGATTTTAACATTTTTTAAATACTCTAAGGTCATTTGAGCAACAAAACCCACATTTCACTCCCTAAATGTTTGACATATTTTTTTTTGTTTGTTTGTTTTTGTCTTGGTTTGTAAAAAATGTACATTCAAGTTAAAATCGTCATTAAAATGTGAAGTAGAAGTATACGATGGATATGCTTTATGAATGTCAACAAACAAAAAATGAAAAGAAATGGAGCARCAAACCAGTAAAGTGCATAATACTAAAGAAAACAAGAATAGAACTATGTTTTATAGACCCAAARTACTCACACATCTTTTGTCAGAATGCATAATTATTTGCGTGAAAGCTACGCAACACTTAATGTTTGGGAGTCAAGTGAAAGTGCAATCCGAGGCGTTTTATTCTTGCGGTTTCAAAGACCGTCAGAGCCCGTGTTGAACCATGACAAAAGTGCAAAGAGTAAATCCTCAGATAAACGCAGACAGAACCGCAGGATTAGACCCACACAGACAAATAAAACCAGGATCCTGTTTCAGGGAAAGTCTCTGTTTACGTCAGTCGTTCCCAAACAATGTGTGTAACTGGATCTTCTACAACTTCTGCATGTGTGTGTGAAAGGTGGACAGCTTCCAACATGTACCAACCTTGGCCTTGTGTTAAAAATTCAAACATGGATCTATATCACTTAAATAAAATAAAAAAATAGTCACAACAATGGAAAGAAAGTCTTGGTTAAAGGGTTAAGTGTTATTTTAATGACATTTTTTATTTGGATTGTGGCTAAAGCAATAAAAAGTTTTTTTTTTTCTGTAAATTATTGCAAACCGAAATCAATTATAAATAATAAAAAGATTTAATTCAGGAGTTTTAAAAATTGGTATGCAATTCTAAAATGCAGGTACTCGCTAAATGTAAACAAAGCATTTTTACATGCATATCGTCAACAAATCTGAGCGTTAATTAGAAGTAGGAGGTAAATTAGAATAGTTTTCCTTTTTTTTTTTAATTTGACACCTGGTAGAGACATGCCAGGTTGTTTTCTAGCAGCCGTTTTTCCAGCCGGGGTGCTTTAAAAAAAAAAAAAAACAGAATAAAGAACCATGCTCAAATTTCACTGTGGATTTAGGTCAAAGTTTCCCAGTAAGGTCAAACTTCAACAGAAGCTATAAAAACTAAACCACTAACAAGTGCGCATTTAGAAACATTTATTTTTTCTGTTTTATTTCAAACATGTCATGGCAGTGAATGTGTTTCCTCTTAACTAACAACACGTCGCTGCAAACAGTGACCTGCTGCATCCCACTGGTAAACTCACGGTAATCCATAACGCCGACRCCTCCTGACTCCTTTCAGAACAACTGTTTGAACAGACAGTGAGCAGCTGTTGCTTTCATTACATCTGTTCAAACTGCTCACACAAACCACAGCTGGCCCTCTCACACAACAGGTGGCACGACAAAAACAACAACAACAAAAAACTAAAATGCTTTTCAGTCCAACGGAGGACTCAATTACTGAAATGGAGAAGCAAAACTGGAACCTGAACAACTAATGAGACTTGTTTTTTTTTTWATCTTTCTGCCGCTCTCAGAATCAGCCGATGATTCAGACGACTTCTTAATAAATAAAAAAAGACAAGACTGAGCATGTTTCATGTTTGAGTTCAGTTTTCATCTTATGTTAAGAAATAACAGAGTTGCAGCTGTTTTGTTCAAACCAAACCGATCTCACGCGACGTCGCCAGACGTCACTCAGAGTAGGTGAAGTGAATTACTCTCAGCGACTACCACACCAAAATTTAGCACAAAATCTGTAGAACTGACTGAGTTTTGGCCATTTTTGTTTGTGGCTAAGTTTAATAAAGCTGTGGCGGCCATTTTGGTTTGCACTGACACCAGAAGTTTCTCAGCTGGAAGTGTACATCGTGCAGTTCTTTACTGACAGTTTCAGTCAAATCAGTTCATTAGATATTTTGCTAACAGACAAAYAGGATGGACTAAATTAAATGCGAAAATTTTAAGCACAGATTTTGTGCTATATGTGAGCATATAATGGGAATGACTCTCAACTACTACCACACATGAATTTAGCACAATATCTATGAAACTGTCTGAATTAAAGTCATTTTTATAACTTTATTATTATTATTTAAGTCATTTTATTGTGCTTGGTCTTTGAATCTGATTGGATGTAAAAGTTAATACACAGATTACATCATCAGGGAAACACCTTAAGTGGTTCCAGAGATATTTTTTGCTAACACGCACGCTTCACCACCGAGTTGAAATGTTGTTTTATAAAGAAGTAATAACGCACCTTTCCACGTGTCCGCGCGCGCGCTGGCCGGCCGCGCGGACAGACAGCTCCGCTTCGCGCATCGCGTTTCCTTCCGCGAGGAGCCCAAATATAAACTGTTCGCTGGAGCCCACGAGCTGCCGAACCCACGTTTGGGGAGGAGCGCTCGAGTGATAAGCAGGCTCAGAAGAGTTTTTTTTTTTTTTTTTAAAGGAGGAGGGGTTGTTTGTTTGTTTTTCTTGTTGTTGTTTGTGTGTTTTTAGGAGAGGGGGGTGGGGAACAGAAGAAAGTCTGTGTTCTTGTGAGCGGTGTGTGCGTGTTTCTGTTAACAGTGATTTACAGGCTGCAGTCACGTTGGTAGACACCTGTTCCTGTGTTCCTGACTTTACAACCAGGCATCTATTTCTGTCTGCTTCTCAGCCAAGAACCTCTTATCATAAAGAAAGAGCATTGATTATTATTATTATTATTATTATTATTATTATTATTATTATTATTATTATTATTATTATCATCATCATCATCATCACCCACCAGCAAGATGTTGTAATGTGTTTGTGAGTGTATCTGAACCAACTTTGTCTGTCTGTTAGCAGAATATCTCATGAACCACTTGATGTATTTTAATGAAACTTTCAGGAAATATTCCATGAATGTACAATTACATCTGATTAGCTTTTGACATCCTTGTTCGTTCAAGATGGTGCCTCAGCTAATCAACCTTAAAAAACACAAAAATGACAATAACTTGGTCCATTTCAAATATATTAATTAAAAAATTGGCGTGGTAGTAGCTGGGCATCATCCTCAACACATACTCTGAGCACAAAGTGACCACATTAAAACTGCTATTAAAACTTATTGCATGTGGGAGTCAAATCCGCCTGTCTKTTAGCAAAATATCTCAAGAACCTCTTGATGTATTTTAATGAAACTTTCAGGAAATTTTCAATAAATGTGCAGCTACAAATGATTAGCTTTTGAAGTCCAAGCTGCTTCAAGATGGTGCCACAGTTAATCAAACTTAAAAAACACAAACATRTCTATAACTAAGTTTATTTCACACATACTAAGCTAAATTTTAGTGTGGAAGTAGCTTAAACTCGACCTCAACACATACTTTAAGCAAAAAGAGACAACATTAAATCTGCTTTTAGAACGTTGCCATTTTGTACAGGAGTCACCTGTGCCTGTCTGTTAGCAAAATATCTTATAAACCACTGCACTGATTTCAACGAACCTCTGAGAATTTAATCWCTAGATATACATCTACAACTGAATAATGTCTGGAGTCAATCCCACACAAGATGGCTGCAACAGATAACTGATGTTACATGACACAAAAATGGCTACACCTCAGCCAATTTTGCAGGAATTAACCAAAAAGATGGCGTGGTAGAAGCTGTGAGTCATTCACAACACATATTTTCATGATCTCTATATGGCATGAGGTTGTGCGTAATATTTCCAAGCTTTGTCTGAAACAGCTATGGCTCAAGATGGTTTTAGAATAAAAACTCAGGCATTAAAAGGTGGCAAGCAATGTGCATTTCTTCCAGGAATGCCAGGCATTTAATTTGCACAAAGCTTTCATTGCTTGCATTTTTGGATCATTAGTTTGTTTCTAAGTGGGTAAGCATGTCACATGAACTCGCACACACACACACACAAAAAAGCCCCCGTAGTCATGAATACTCTGAGTCTTGTGACAACAAGTGGGTGTGAGCTACAACAGAAGACCACAACTTCCTCCTCAATAGGCTGACTTTTAAAACGAGGAAACTGAAGTATGATTGCTTCAAATAATCTGTGGATGTGACATTTAAGGTATCTGCCGGTAAAACACATGAATAATTATAATTTAAAAAAAAATCTACAGTAGATGAAGTGTGAGGAAGACTTTTATTTTTAAAAGAGGAGACGATTGTTGGTTGGGGCGTACAGAGATGCCCACTCTGCTGAGGGCAGGGTGAGAGTTGTCTCATTACAGCCAGCTATCCGAGTCCTAAAGGAGTCTGAATTGAAAACATATCAAAACAAAAGCCTAGCATTGCTTGAATGCTTATCACCTGTCAGAGTTTTAGACGGAGGTCATAAAATGCTGACTAATGACAGGGTTGCGGTCTTTATGGTCAAACCTTAAAAGTCACATTTTGAGGAACTTCGGGCTGATGATTACCGGTACTATTTGTGACCAATTTTCCACTTGCTTTGAAATTTCAATCAAGTTTTCGCAGAATACACTTTATGGAAATTGCCGTACTAAAGGTTTCCAGTGACATTTTGAAATCAGCTGATTCGTGAAAACCACAGAGTTTTGGGCTTACTGGACCCTTTACCTTCGATGCTGTTGATCACAAGATTTTGATTCATACACTTCAGAATCAGGTTTGGATGTTTGGTTCTGTACTCAAATGGTTCTCATCAGACCAAGGTTTTAGTGTTTCTGTAAACAGGAGGATGTTGGACACTACTAGATCATCTTTTGGGGTACCTCAAGGTTCTGGTTTGGGACCTCTTTTATTTATATTACTGTGTTTTACGAAAAGTGTTATAAGTAAACTTTTCATTATACACAATAAATAAATAATAAACATAATTTGGGTTTAGCTTCTACGGAAGTCGAGAGCGGCTGTTTTCTGCATATRATTATTTTCCATGTTTTCTCGTGATAACGAGTTAATTTCAAGATAGTTTTCCTCTCCTGCATTATCTATTAACCATGGAGACCGCCTGGTCCCTTCAGCTGGCCATCGGTGAAGTTTACTATTAATTTATTTTTTATATACCAAGCAAATCCCACTGAGATAGCAGATCTTTTTTTGCAAGGGTGGCCTGGGCCTGAAAGCAACTTAGCGTACATAATTTTGTGTCTTTTTTGTATCATCATGCAAAATGAAACTGCAATTTGTTTGTCTTACAGATAACTTTCATATCAGCCCTGCAGATCACAGTGATCCTGTTGATATAATAAACTTTATTGGTGACCAGCAGAGGGGATCGGGCCCTCTCAATGGTTACTGAATGACGCGCAGAAAATCATAACCAGTTATCTCGAGAAAACAGTCTCCGTAAGCGCYAGTATCAGTGCTCATAATTTTATTTAACATCTCATTGCAGCAAAAATGTCATCTCCTCGGCCCATGATTAATGTCCAAACTTTCCTGTTTCGTTTGCTGACGACACAAAGAACCCTGGGATATTTTGGGCCACACAGATTCAGCCTTCGCTTTCTGGGTTTTGTGGGCTGCATTTGTCGGCTGCACGAGAAGGAGCTCAAGAATGGGGACAGCAATGCGGTGCACAAAACCAGCCTACCAATGCACACTACGTGGGCTGCAACCCGACACTCTCGGTTTTAACGTTGAATCCAGATTTGCATTTCTGTCAACCGAATGGAAAGAGGCGGCTCCGTTATCTCACCGACTGTAACTGAAGAAAGACGGCACGATTCGGGCTAAAGATTCCCCATAAAAAAACTGGTTTTGGCACAGTGGACCATTTTATCTCAATCATTAACCTTTAAGGCACATGTTGAAACTTAACAGCTAGAATCAGGATCGGGCAAGACGGACTTAGAAAAACGAGTGACTGATTCATTGTTGTTGTTGTTTCTGGTACAAGAAAGCAAGGAGTGAATGAGCTGCACTTTGGAAAACATTTGTTAAAAAAAACTTGCGCTTTTCTTAACAAAAACGCGATATGAGTGACAGGAACAGCAAAAAAAATTAAAAGATATTTTTTTCTCATACAATTCTGTTTATGTGAAGATAAACTTTGTGTTGCAGCAGTTAAAGAAGCAACAGGAAACAATGTCTGAAAGCTTCTGCACAGATAAAGTTAAACTTTAACACTGTCACTTAGCAGCTACACACACACACGCACACACACACACACACACACACACACACACACACACACACACACA